GTATATTTAACACTATTTATGAATCTTAACTTCTTTCCCTTTCCTGCAATGAATTTTTCTGGCTTTCATTGCCATCGTTTGTTTGTTTATTTATTTATTTATTTAATTTGGCTGTGGTGGAATATTTTGGAATAGAAATTGAAATTTTGGTAATATAAATGATTTAATTAGAGCAATTCTCCCCAACATTGATAGGTTCAAATTGACCCACTTTTATCTCTCTCTTTTTTTGCTAATTTAAATTGATTTTTTTGATTAAGATTTTTTGTTACCCATATTCTTAAATATTTAAAACTTGAATAGCATAACTCTAAATGCTATGCTTTTTAAATTTTGTTTTGTTCTATAATAGGGATATTTAGGCATAATAACAGATTTTTGGAAATTAATTTTTAAACCCGTATACTGACTATATTCCTGTAACATTTAAGTGTTCTCTTCTTTGTAATGGGTCCTCCAAAAAAAGGAGCCTATCCTCTGCGTATAAATTTATTTTGTGTTGTCTGTTTTTCATGATCAGTCCTCTAATGTTTCCACTTTCTCTTATTTTTGCCACAAGAAATTCTATTATTAATGCGAATAAGATTGGAGACAAGGGATCACCTTGTCTAGTTCCTCTGAATAATGTAAATTTGTTAGATTCAACTCCATTAATAAGTACAGTAGCACCTGCCCCTATATATAATTTCTTTAGAACTGTAATAAAAATTTTACCCATATTCATCTTTTCCAAAAGATGGAACATAAATTTCCATTCCACCCGATCAAATGCCTTAAGGGCATCCAGTGAGAGTATTGCTATCTTCTTTTTTCTTTATTAGCTACATATATAATATTCCGTACTCTGCGGATAGCATCTCACATTTGTCTTCCTGGCATAAAACCATATTCATCTGTACGAACATATTTAGTTACAAAAATTCTTAATCTTTGTGCCAGTATTGTTGAGAAAAAAATTTGATCTTGATTTTGCAGTGTAGGAGACATTGGATCCTTTTCCTAGTTTTAATATAGTTATTATTCTGGCCGTATGCTGTATTTTCAGTTTCATAAATCATCTGGAAGCCTGCAAGATTATCCTTTTTTAAACTGGGCCTTTTAAAAAAGAAAAGCGGAGGAGTCTCACCTTACAAAACATATCTCTAAATTTGCATGTCATCTTATATATGATGTTAATCTTAAAACAACACAGGAGCAGAACCTTTTCACTTCCTAAAATAGCTCAAGACCAACACTTGCATACAAACCCCATTATCGACTCACTCTCTGATCTCAGAGGCTCTTTTGCTGCAACTACTGGCTAAAACAAATATAAATTGAGAGGTAATAAATTCCATTTTAATTGTTCCATTTTATTTGTTTTCTTCTGCTTCCTAAATCAGCTTTAGAGTTTGAAATGGAAATGCTGATCATACACAGTAACAGCTGTAGCGATGTCACCAATAAATACAAAGCCACTATACAAGGAAAGCCTTTCTGACAGTCCTGCCATCCTTACATTCACATCTAGTGAGGACACAAGACAGGGTCTTTCTGGTGGCTGCTCTCACTCTGTGGACCTCCCTTTCAAGAGAGGCTAGATTGGTCCTTTCACGAATGGCCCCAAACCATTTTATTATAGGTCTCTGGCTCCCTAAATAGCGGCGGGGGGTGTTAACAGTGGGTGTTGTACATCTTTTTTCTTTGTTGTGTTTCTAAATGGTTTCTATGTGGTTTTAATTCACTCCCTTATAGTTTAACATGATGCCTTATTTAATTACAATTTAATATTATAACATACAGGCTGAAATCCAGTGGCAAGTCACAATTAGAGTAGGCCTATTAAATCAGTGGCCATCCTTCATAATTTCCACTGACTCAATGGGCTTTCTCTAGTTGTAACTCACTACTAGTTTTCAGTCATTGCCTTTTTAGCTATAACTGTTCTAATTCACTGAATTGCCTTAGCTGGGAGAAAATATAAATAAAATGAGGGAAACTATAAGTAAATAAAGAAACTCTGCTTCTGTACAGTCTACTGCAATGATACCTGAACTGTCAGGAAAAAAACAAATAACCAAAAAAACAAATAAAAGCAGCAACAGCAGGCCACAGGGCTTTGCATATGCAGATGCAATTCTGTAGTCAAGTACATATATTAACACTGTGACAGAAAATGAGCACCTCGTTCTGTTTCCACTTCAGCTCTCAGCTGTAGAAGCTCCACTTCTTTTGACTGCAACTGCTCATTCAATAATTGCAGGGATTCAGTGTTCTCTTTCATCTAATTGAAGAAGAAACACACTATCAGAGCTCTGCCTGTCTAGCTTGCTAGACATTAATAAAATCTGCTACATGTTAAGAGACAATATGCCAGCTTGCTTTTCAGGAAAAGATGACCAAAGTGTCACAGGTTCTAAAGCTTTAACATGTTAAAAGTACTGTAAATACATATGCCAGAACCATGCACACAATGCTTTAAAAAAGAACATAAAACCAAAATCTTCTATGGCCATCAAGAAATACAATCAAAGTCAGCTCAAGTAATTAACAAGTTTTTCAGATTAATCAACAGCTTTTTGCATCTGCACCACACTGGAAATCACATATAAATAAATATATAAATGTGCATGCATATACACTCACACTGGAAATCACATATAAATATATAAATGTGCATGCATATACACCTATAACTAATTGTCACTTGCTGCATATTTTCTCTCTACAATTGGAAACTTTTTGTGCAGCAAGGAGACCAGAGCTAAATTTGTTTTCTCTCTACAATTGGAAACTTTTTATGTCAAGCATGCCCTTGTGTCCTCCAGTACTAAACTCCAGAGGTACTCCTTGTGCAGCAAGGAGACCAGAGCTAAATTTGGCAACTGAGAAAGAAGGTGGCAGTACTGACTTGCTGCTGCATCCTGAGACATGCAGAAGTACAAAACTGTTTTTAAGGCAGGGGGGCAAAATGCAATTACTGTAAATAGGGACTTGAACAAGCACAGCAACCTCCAGAAACCACAGAATGCTGAGGGCCAACTGGAAAAGAAAAAAGAGAAAACTTGGGGAGAGGGCAGAGTAAAAGTGCATTGGCCTGCTTGAGTCTCTTACGTTTTACAGTATCTGGTAAAAATATATCATTGGCTTGGTTGAAATCCTCAACAGAGGCATACTAATGGGGCAAGGAGGATACACTGCAAAATTTCGTTATAGCTCTTACTTGTTTCTTTACAGAGCCTTATTCCACCCACCCAAGAAATAAACAATATTTTTAGAAAAAACAACACTCTTCCTCCATATTTCTCTGTTTCTTTTAATGAAGGGAAAGGAAAATCACATTGGGCACAAAGAGTCATTAACACTCTCCCATCAAAATGATTTCAGTAAGAAATTTGTAACTTTCACATTGACATCAGCGCAATTTCACTGCTTACCTTCATCTGAATCACACCCATCCCACTTCCTGTAGTAACTAATAACTACCAGATATGCTTCTTTCCCTGCTCTGCAAGAATCCCTGTATTCACTGCATCCATAGAATCCAGATCCTTTTAACCCACCACACAGAAACCTACCATTTTATCCATTTTAGCTTTCAGATTATCTCGATCAATACAAGCCTCTCGATATGCTTGGTAGGCTTTGTTAACCTGCTCACGACCTACAGAGCTCGTTGTTTCTTCCAAACGTGAACCAAGAAGCTAAAGGGTTAGAGTGAAAAGATTACACTGTCACTGGCTTAATTACTGTACTTCATAACTATCAAGTGTAAATATCTAATTGTAAGCCAACCAAGTTAACATTGAGTCATTTTACAGCCAACACTATTTGGATGTATGCTACATTTAAAAAAAACCACACATACCAGCTGTGTTTATTTTTCCTAGTTTTAAAAAATGTCAATTGTAAGCACAGCAGAAATAGAATGCTCTCTTATAAGAACATTTAACAATTGCTATGATAAAAAATGAAACTTACTCTGCCATTTTTATTGGGGAGGAAGCAATGGAACAGAGGTAGACTCAATGTTTACTTACTTTTTCTTCTAACAATCGTACTTTTTTCTTTAAGAGAGAGTTCTCCTTTTCAGTTTCCTTCAGTCGTTTTTTGATATCTTCATAAGCAGTAACAAGTGCAAAATGTGAAGCAACAGACTCTCCACCTGTATACATGGGAACAGGAATTTCTCCATATCGCTTATGATGTGTATCTGCTTTTTCATGATTCAAAATATCAATGTCATCTTCACCTAGTTCATCCATGACACCTGAATAAAAACCATAATTATATCAAATATCCTAATATAGTAAAAATCTGAAAATTACATTGAAGACATGAGAAATTATGCTGTAAGGTATCTGTTAGATGTTTTCCAGTGCTGCAAACTATCACCTCAGATTTGGGAGAGGGGGACAGTAGGAGCTATTCTTATTACCATACTTTGCTGTCAGCTAAAGCATATTAGATAATTATACATTTTTGTGAAACTATTATATTTAAAATATATGTTCAAGAATCCCTCCAGATGTTTCCATGTAATGTGGAAGCAATGTTTCTACTGTTGGAGAGAAGTGGTTATTTGAGAAAGAGGAGCGATACAATCTATTCAGCCTCAGAATTTCGCTAAGCATTTATTCTAAATTAGCAAATTGACCCACTAACAACCAAGCTGTATTTCACAGATTCAGTAAATTTATATTCCACATTTCCACTAAAAATAGTTCTCAAGGTAGCACATAATAAAATATAAGATGAAACATAAAATTATATGGCAAAAAGATATAAAAGAATTGTGGCAGCTTAACAATTGTCAGCTTTCATGGATTACAGTCCACTTACCCAGAAGACAAAACATAATAGCCAGACAACAAGTATACTGTATATATAAAGAGGACATAGTGGAGAGGTGTAACTAACTAAAATAGGAAAAATAAGCAAATTAGACCAAAAGAGAGACAGGCAGACAAAGGAAGTGGACTTGATCCACAAAAGCTCATATTAAAATACCGCAATGCCACAACATTTGCCTCTTATTTTTGTGTTTCTTTTTGTTGTTGTTTTCTGATTTGTCTGCACACATTAACAAATTTCTTCAAAAACTATAAACAGAAAAAATAAGATGGCAATTGTATTGGCACTGGGTTTTCAAAATGGCAACGACACTTTTAATGTCTGAAATAATCAGTCCAACTGATAACAGATACTGTGATTGTTTTCAGGAAGTATGCTAAGATTACAGTTATAAGAAAAGAAGTATTTTTGGCTATAGGTGTATCCAAGAATGTAGATGAAGCCAAAATATTAATATGTATAGTTGACTAACAATCCTTTGACCATACTAAATCTTTCTGATACAGGATTGGAATCTGAAAACCTAGATCCTTTCAGCCATGTGCCTCACAAGACAAATCTGACAGTATCTAAGGTGCCACAACACTTATTTTTATTTTTGGATTATATCCTGGATTCTTCTAACATGGTGACTGCTTCAAAAATTATAATTCAAACATCAAAGCAAATAAAACATCCTAAATACAAAACAATATCAACCAATTAAAATGTCTTCAGAAAACACACATACACACACAGTTTAGATGCCAAAAATCTGCCAGGATAAAATAACATCTGCTGGCAGAAGGACATAGATGGAACTAGACTATCCTTTATCAAGCAATTCCAAAACCTGGTGCAGAAGGTCATTGAAGAAGAAATCTAAGTGGGGCTTAGAAAGTGTAGGGGGAAGGGATCAAAGCGCTGCAGAATCACTTTGATCCCTGCTTTCTCCCTTCGTGCTAAGCCTCGCGGGGCTTAGCAAAAGCAAGGGGAATGGGATCAAAGAAATCCCTCAACTGCATGATCATTTTGATCCCTTTCCCCCTTATACAGCCACTGGATTGCTTTGATTCTTTCCCCCCTCCTTTTGTTAAGCCCCATGGGACAAGGATTATTGTTCCTGCAGGGCTTTGATCCCTGCTTTCCCCTCCACTTGTTTTTGTACTCTCTTCAGCTTAATTCTGTGTATAAGACGACCCTCAATTTGTAGTCTAAAAATTTTAGACAAAAGTATAGTCTTATACATGGAAAAGTATGGTATAATATCAGAAGCACCTTTAAAAATGACATGTACGTTTTCATGGATTGCCATTTCCTCCTTTAGATGCATGGCATATAAGACTTGTTGATACCTGCCCTCAAGATATCTCTTATAGCAGCCCTATGAATGAGAATATCTCCAAAATATCCTGTCCTCAACAGCCCTGCTCAGCTCCTATAAACTTAAGCCTGTGACTTCATTTAGTAGATTCCATTTAGTAGACTTCATTTAGTAGACTTCATTTAGTAGACATCAAATCTACAGGGGTAGATCTGATTTAAATCAAACTTATTTAAACCACAATTTAAATCAATTTAATTTTTTAAAATTTGGATTTCTTAATGATTTTAATTTTTAAAAAATCTATGGTTTTCATTTTAAATTGTGATTTAAATCATAAACCAATATGAATTTTTAAAAAAATATTGATTTTATCCACTCTGAAGTCAATCCATTTCATATTTGACCTTCCAGTTTTCCTGCTGTCTTCAACTTTTCCTACTATTTTGGTCTTTTCCAGAGAATCTTGTCTTTTCATGATGTGCCCAAAGTAGGTTTCACCATTTTTGATTTTCAGTTTCATCATTTTTGCCTCCAGAGACAGTTCAGGCTTGATTTGCTCTAAAATTCACTTGAACATCTTTTGGGCAGTCCAGGGTATCCATCAAGCTTTCTTCCAGCATCATATTTCAAATGAATCAATTTTTTTCCTGTCAGTTTTCAGACTCATACATTGTGACTGGGCATATGAGATCTTGGCCATGATCTCCACTAAGACATCCTTACACTTGATCTATCTCGATTCTTTCATTGCTTCCCCCCAGAGTCTTCTGATTTCCTATCTGCAGATACCATTTGAATTGATGATACAAAATCTTTAATTTTTTTCAATTTCTTCATTATCAACATTAAAGGATGTAGTTCTCCTGTCATGAGACTTTTGTCTTCTTAATGTTCAGCTGCAATCCCACTTTGGCACTTTCTTCTTTCACTTTCACTAAAAGTCAAGTCAAGAACCTTTATTGGCATCTGAAAAGAAACAACACATAAGGCAACAGTCCTTCTCTTTCGACAAGCAGCGTCTCAAGATCTCCGCTGCTTGCAAGACTTTAATATTTTTTTTTATTTATTTAAAGATTTTAAAGCTCCATTGGTGCTGGCTGTTGTTGGTCGTCATGCCCAATAGAACTTGGACTCCAAACAGTAAAGTCAGGGAGATTTTAGTACAGTGGGGCCTCCACTTACGAACATCCCTACTTACGAAAATTTCAAGGTACAAAAAGCTCCGGCCGCAAAATTTGGGTTCGACTTGCGGCTGGAGCTTCAACCTACGAAAGGCAGGGGGAAAGGGCAAGAAATTCAAAGCTGCCCCTGCTGCCCTTTGCCTCCCGTCCCCAGTGCCCTCTGCCTCCCATCCCTGTGGGGACAGTAGGCATAGGGCACCGGGAACCGGAGCCAGAGAGCAGCAGGTGCAGCTTTGGAAGCCCGTGAAGCCGAAAGTTGCCCCGACCTCCACGCCTGCTGCTGGCTTCCTGGGCGTCCAAACCCCCTCCGCTGCCCTATGTCTCCCAGGAGGAAGAGATAAGGCATTCTGGAAAGACAAAAATGACATTAAATTAGAAAATTGGTATAATAAAGAATGGGACATTGCATTAAATGATAAATGACCTACTAAACTTAAGATGAAAAGAGGGGTAATAAGTTCAAATATGTTTTGTGCTATTTGGGGTAGATTTGTTGAATTTGTATTAGTGAAAGGAAAGAGGAAAGCCTCTAAACAACAATCAATACAATTTTGGAAAGGAAGTTTGTATTAAAAGTATTGTTCTAAGGAGTCCCGTGCATATGGGGTGCAAGGTAGTTTAGATTGTATAGCAAGTATTTTGTATTTGATTTTGTTCTGAAAATAAAAATAAACATGTATTTCCAGGGTATTACTAAACCTGGCCACTAGAGGAAGCCACAAACCATGCAATGTGTAGTGTTCCATACTTCCACATTTTTCGGAGTCCTCAGGGGAAGGGAGGCTTGGAACTGATTCCCTGTAGATGCCACAGTCCTATTGTATACATTTTCCCTCTGCTTCTTCTTCTAAGCAAGTAACATCTGCTTTGGGTTAAGTCTGAAATCTCATTTTAAAACGCACTAATTATATTAAAATTTCTGAGGGGGAAAATGTGACCAATGGGATTTCCTTTTAATGCAATACTGACATGAATTCAAAATCACATAACTCACAATTACTGCTTTCATGAATATTAAACTACAGTGGTACCTCACAAGATGAATGCCTCGGGCAACAAAAAACACGAAAGTGTCTTGTGAGTTTTTTGGTGCCCCGCAAGATGAATATATTCTTGTCTTGCAAGTTATGTTTTCCCATAGGAATGCACTGATATTTAATTAAAGCGTTCCTATGGGAATTTTTTTTTAAAAAAAGTCACTTTCCAAGTAGGGGGGTAGGGGACACCATGGGAGGACTGGCAGGGGTCCCTGCAACTGTGATCGCCGCTTTCAGAGGTCCCCAGGCAGTCCTCTGATGGTGCTGGGCAAGCCTTCCCCAGCACCATTTTTGAACTTCCTGCCCTTTTCCCTGCCTTTTTCCATTCAGAGGCTTGCCGAGCACCATTGCAGGACTGTCAGGGGACCTCTGAAAGCGGCGATCATGGTTGCAGGGGACCCCCACCAGTCCTCCGATGGTGCTTCCTCAGCTCCCTACCTGGTAAGTGACTTTTTAAAAAAGGTTTTTCCCATAGGAACACATTAAATAAATTTCAATGCATTCCTATGGGAAAACTCGCCTCACAAGACGAAAATTTCGCAAGATGGCAGGTCTCGCGGAATGAATTATTTTCGTCTTGCAAGGCACCACTGTACTGAAAAATGCTACATGCAAGAGCAAAAAGCTGGTCAAGAAGACACTGATCTCTATTAAGTCTTTTAAAATGTAACGTAGGAACTGGATGCTTACAAAAATAGAATCTATGATTTAGTTTTTCCAATGCTTGCCTTTTCAGACCAGTGACACAAGTATGGTCTATATCAGAATCTGCAGTCAAGGGAAAAATTATTCTACAAATGGGATTCTGCATTACACACATGGCTGTATCTAAAATTGCAAAATGGCTGGAAGGTGCAAAGGTAGGGCACAACAGTTTACAAAAGCATAAAAGCAATTTGTCTCTCAGCACAACTGAAGATACTGTAAGAATGTTTATGCAGCAACTTTCCAGGTACCTATTCCTCTAATTCAGAGCAAAGTCTCAGGTAATAGTATATTTATGTCTAGTTCCTCAGACTAGAAGTACCTATGTCAACTTCATGATATTCCTCCCATTCTATTCAGATTTTAAGTATTTTCAACATTATGTGGGCCATGGGTATTTCTCAAGGATGGCTTTAATATGCATTTATTTCTGTGGGTGGTGTTCCCAATTTGGACTAAGAATGCTCCATCACTGTTCTATGGTAAGAGAAGGGAGCAAAGAAAGAGGGTAACACAGATTAAACAAACTAAGAAATCATGCCAAAGACTTGTGCTTCGTTACAAATGTTAAGATCTCACACAACAGAAGTTAAAGAGATGGATTCCCTTCACATATGCCTTACAAAATCTCAAGAGCTGGTGAAAAGCCTATGTTGTCTAGACCCATTCCCCAAGACAAAGAGAACTGTGAACAAAATAAGCATCAGGGTAACAGAATTTGCACTTGGGAGGTACACTCTAATAAGTCAAGAAAAATGACTTGTTTTTTGTCCCATTAACTTCTAATTTCAAAATGACTTGTATTCTTCTGTCAAATATTCATTCATTCATTCCTTGTCTTTCTCCTTAAAAAGGAGCAAGGGCAGCTTACATCATTAAAAGACAGTATTGAAAACTAACAGCAGTGAGTATACAAATACTAAAAAGGATCAAACAAGTCTGGGAGCAGCTGGACTGAGAGAAAGGGATCTCCTGATGTACTTAACACCTGAGCAGACTAATAAAGGGAGATGCAGTCCTTGAGATAGCTTGGGCCCAAGCTGTTTAGGGCTTTATAGGTTACAACAATTAGTCTGAATTGTGCCCAGAAATGGATCAGCAGCCAGTGGAGCTGCTGTAACAAAGGGGTTATGCTCTCCCTATGACAAACCATGGGTTAGCAATTTGGCTGCATTCTGGGCCCGCTGAAGTTTCCTAACACTTTCCAGAGGTAGCCTCACATAGTGTGTCACTGTGGCCACATCAGACATCTCCAGAAACAAGTAGCAGTTGGTGCACTTGTTTTAATTGTGCAAATACACTCCTGGCTATTGCTGAAACTTGGGAATCCAGGCTCAGAAATGAATCCAGGAACACCCCCAACTTGTCTATCTGTGTTTTCAGGGGAAGCATGACCCCCATCCAGCACAGGCTGCATTCCTGTTCTCTGATTTGCCTTTCAGTTGAGCACCTCTCTCTCTCTCTCTCTCTCTCGTCTAGATTACGTTTGTTTATTTTCCCACATCCAGTCCATTGCTGATACTAGACACTGATCTAGCGCTGAAATAGCTTATTGCAGATGGAAATGTCTAATACCTCTCCTAACCAGTTTTCATTTTTAAAAAGTTTAACCAATCCAGTTACAAATAGCAGTAGCAATTTTCCAGAACTTCATATGAAAGCAACATTCGTATTAAGTATATTCTCTAAAGAACACTAGGAAACATCTCATCAGGTTTGGGCAACTATTGTCTCAACTAAACATTGTGTGTTTTTGTTTTTTAATGGAGTCCCCTCCTCAACTTCAGTACAAAAAGAAAAAATTGGTTCTACAGCACCAGAATAGCAATGATTGTAGTCAGCATCTTTATTCATCATTCTGTTGACAGTCATTTCCAACACAAACATACCACTGACAGAACAAACAACAACAATCCTATATCCTTACACCAGTTAAAAATGTGGAAAAACTGTATCCAATTATTAGCCACCTTGAGTCCTTTTTGGGAGAAAGGCAGGATGGAAATGTTTTAAATAAATAAATTTAAATAAGTTGGGGCAATCAAAAGACTTCTCTTTTTTTACAACTTGGTGAGTTATTTCCAAGGCTGGCTTAAAACGAAATAAAAACAACAGTTCCATTTTCTATACAACACTTCCTTGTATTGAAGGTGCTTTTTGGGGAGCTTCTTTCTTGGTTTTCTCTGTATAAACCACTTGGGAGTTTTTGTTGTATTGAATGGTATATAAGCACCACAAATATATATATAAGTAAGAGCTGAAGTAATAAAGATAGTCCTAACGTGAACTATGCCTGTGAAGACTGGAAAGCATTGTCATTTCGGAGTGCTGCTTAGTCAGTGAGCAACAAGGAAACAAAGAGTAGAAAAATTATGTATACAAATCAGAATCTGAAGGAAGCAAATTTGAGAAAATGATGCAAATGAGGAATGTCTCTAAAGATACTTGGGCAATACAGCTGACTTCTGCATACTGCTGTACCATATACACTGTAGTCATTGCCCCAGGATCTTAACAGGAATGTATTAAAGACTGCATCATCCACTACTAATGAAGTATACATAAAGTTCTTTCCCTGTTTAGAAACAACCTCCATGTACAAAAACATGGACACTGTCATGGGTCACAAAAATTTCCCCAAGCACACATCACGTCTGCGAATACAGTTCAAGCAAACTGAAGGCAAATCACTGCACAACCAGCCACATCTTTGCCATGATTGCAACTGCACCCCCACCCCAAAAGAATTAATCCCTAGAAACCTGCAAGGTGCAAAGAGGTCATACTTTCTAAACGTACACATTACTTCATAACAACTAGCTATGCAAAGTAGATATTTCTGGGGGCTGGGAAAAGGGGATCAGGGTCTTGAGAGAGAGGACAAGTCCAGCCCAGGCAAGAAACCTGGGCTTCCAAACCAGACGCTACTGCTGGCAAAAAAATAAATAAATCCCTCAGAAGACTAGGCAAGAACAACAACCCCCCCCCCCTTGGACGTGCTGCTTTTCTCCATGCAGAAAACATGGATTTTCTACAGATGGCCACTTCGGGTGCCATCTCGAACGCCCTGAGGAGGAAGAGGAGGAAAGCCTTACGGAGCGCGGGGAGGGGTCTTAGTTCAAGAGCAGCGGCGCACAGGGCCGGGCTGGCCGGGCGAATGAGGCGGCGGAGAAGTGTTGTCGGGGGAGGAGAACAAGAGTCGACCGCGGGACAGAGGACAGTCCGCCGCCCCCCCCCCGCCGCCGGAGGCGCTGGGAACGGGCAGGGCGTTACCTGCAGGCGGCAAACTCCTCACCGCAGAAGGGAGCGAGGAGGGGGGGCTCCCTGTGGCCTCCGGGCCCGCCACTCAACGGGGCGAGAGAACCACGGCGGTGGGAAACAGGAAGGCGCTTCCTCTGCGGCTTGGGCTTCTCCGCCTCACGACGCTCATCGCGCTCTGAACAGGCCCAGGAGGCGGAACCAGCGGCAGCTCTAACTGACACCTTTGCTCCCTTCAAAGAAGAAGGAAAAAAAACACCACCATCTACCCGCAACTGCAGGACCCCCTTCCTTCATTCGCCTCTCGCACACCCGGAAGTCCACATTCGGAAGGCGTACCGGCAACGCTTCCACGCTGGAAACGGCCCTAATAAGGCCATTCCCCGAGGCATGCTGGGACTGGTAGTCTCGTTAGTTTCCTCGAACGTTGCATGTTGGGCGGAGGAGGGTTTTAAGGGAGCCGTAGTGGAAACGGAACGCGCGGGTGGAAAGGAGGCTGTGTGTACATGCCTTCCCGGCATACAGCGCGCGGGGGTGGGGCGAGGGGGAAGAGCGTGAGGGGAGTTGTAGTTCTCTCAGAGTGGCTGTGGGTTTTCCCAGTTTCAGAAACTCCTTGTTCGGGGTGGGGGCGTGTGGTGAGAAGAGTTACCTCATCTTGCATCTCCCTCACTTCACACTACGGGATGCTCCTGTTTCTCTGCTGAAGTTTCGTGATTGCTGGTGGGCTGCTTGACACGATGTAGTTTGTTTACTTGTTACAGTGTGTGTCATATATACATATTTTACAAACTTACTCCTTGTGTATGTCAAATCTGCTTTAACTTAGATTCCAGCGCTGAACCTTATAGGTTTCTGAGCCTCAATGGCCTTATGGGCAGGCTCCTTCCAACCCAATTATTCTATTCTTCTCTATGTTTTCAAAGCAATGAACAGTAACTAAACATCAAAATCAACAAGTGAAAAGTGGCACACACGCACAAACACAAATTCGTATCAATTCACTTGACACAACCACTAGAGCATATATTTAAACTGCATAATCTCAAGTCCATTAATGACAGCTGAAGTCAAATATTACAGACATTAAGACTGTATGTATATTTTAAGAGACAATTCCACAATAGAGAAGGCAGCCAACTTTTTAGGTGTTTCATCTGAGCTTCCACTTAAGGGGAAAATGAGGCAGACAGGTATCCATCAGTTAAGGTAACAAGCTAGCAACATGAATTTGACCAAACTTCAGGAGGCAGTGGAAGACAGAAGAGCCTGGTGTGCTCTGGTCCTTGGGGTCAAGAAGAGTCGGACACAGCTTAATGACTAAACAACAAAGGTACATGCACACAGAAAACACTGGTCAAAATCCTGTTGCTTTTTAGTGGACATACAGAAGTTGCTGTTTGGTGAGGTACAGGTCATTCAACCAGGGAAGTGCACTAGTAATAGTCATCCTTCAGTCTAGAGAGACTATGGTAACGTGCTCTGAATAGAGGTCTTGGAAGAGCGTCTAGTGTGGCTGAGAAGGCCAATTTGAGAGTGACAATCTCTTCCACATTGAAGACAAATGCAATCTGTCCCCTGTCCAGCTCCCTGGTTTTGCTTGTTTCGGGACTGCCTCTTTGCCTCGGCCTGCTGGACAAGGGTCTCTTCAAATTGGGAGAGGCCATGATGTACCGCCTGCCTCCAGGTTGAGCACTTGGACATCAAGGTTTCCCATCTGTTGAGGTCCATTCCTAAGCCCTTCAGATCCTGTTTGCAGATATCCTTGTATTGCAGCTGTGGTCTCCCTGTGCGTTGCTTTCCCTGCACTAATTCTCCATACATCCTGCAAGTGCACTGACACTTTGCTTAATACCTATTTCCATGATTATCGCTCTGCACTTGGTAATTAGCAACAGGATTCTTGTATCTCACTACCAAGTTGTCCCAAGGTGGCATCCCTTGTATAGGAACACATTGTACATTGAGGTGAGAAAGTCAGAACCGATTCCTCAATCCTGCTTTCTTGGTTCTCCCTGTGTTCATAACCCTCTTTCTTATGATACCAGCAGTAGATGGATGCTCAGGCCTTTTACTTCTCACTGCATACTAAAAAGGGTAAATATATATCTCTGTTTGATTAACAGCTTTAAGTTTAAATAGACTGGCATTTTTGTTCCCACACTTTTGCTCTTGCACTCCTCACCCCACAAGAATGTGATGTCCAAGAAATCAATTTGGCCTTCAAGCTGAAAGAGATTCCCTCGTAAATTTACAATTAACCAGCAGTGAGGTCAAACCTAGTAAACCAACACTAACAATAAAAACATCAAACATACAGTATCAACAAAGGTAGAAATGGCACAAAACAATATCCAAAATCCATACTGAGGTGATATATTTGAAAGGCAAACAAAAGTAATTAAAATCAAAATTTCTCACTGTACAAGGTGGAGCCATCATGAAAATCAGTGGCCATTTCCCCATTCTCCCACCACAATCATTTCTCTTATTACAAAACATTACAGATCACCACCACTGTCACCACCTTGCAATGATGCCACATTTTATTTAGTGTTGGTTGTCAAATTGTACTTGCAGGAACAAATGTGCAAAACTAAAATAACCCTTTATTGTACAACCTGTGCTACAGTTGGAAACACAACACTATTTGTGCTTACCCAGAAGTAAGTCCTACTGTGTTTAATGATGTTTTCTCCCAGTTAACTGTACAGAACATTATTCTGGGATTTTAAAAAATTGGTTTAAAATGTAAGATGCTCATTAATTTATCATTTATCTGTTGTGCTAAGCATGCTAAGTTTATTGCTAATGTATAATTTTCCATGTACCTTTATAGCCCATATTTCTGTTAAGCAGAACTCTATGCCTACTCTGAACATCTGTGAGCTCTATTTGCAAAATAGTTTGAACCTATGTCCTTATGATTTTAAGTCATATATAAAAAGCCTCGTGGCGCAGTGGTTAAAACGCTGTACTGCAGCTAAAACTGTGCTCACGACCTGGGGTTCAAATCCCAGGTAGCCGGCTCAAGGTTGACTCAGCCTTCCATCCTTCCGAGGTCGGTAAAATGAGTCCCCAGCTTGCTGGGGGGGCAATGTGTAGCCTGTATAATTAAAAAATTGTAAACTGCCCGGAGAGTGCTTGTAGCGCTATGGGGTGGTATATAAGTCCAATAAATAAATAAATAAATAATATATAATTTCTATATAAAAGCCATGGATTTGCCTTGAAAACCACTACTGTTGGTCACCATGTGCAAAGGAGAGAACATTACTGCTGCCATGCCATTCACAACTGTAATTGCTCAGAATGGCTACTTTAGTTTCATTTTGAAAGATGAATATTCTTGAATGATTACTGGCAAGCATACTTTTTGTGCTTTTTTTGTTCTGCTAATGTTCCCCTATGTTCACATTCTCTCCATATTCTTCAGAATATTTATTTTTGTGAATGTAGATAAAGGTGTTTTTTTTTTGCTAGAGCAGTTTTAAGTGAGCACAGTTTTCATGGTAATTAAAATATATTCCTCTTCATTTGTCTTAGTCTAAACCTCTCATTTTTATGTTTCAGAAGACAACAGTATTCTACTGCCTCTAACCTGTATGGATTCCATAACAGATCACAATTTTTCTTTAGGCAAAATGTGGGTACAGTGTGAGAACAGCAGCTGTTTAAAGTGGAGACTGTTGCCGCATGATGCTGCTGCACATGTTGATCTAAATGCACCGTGGTACTGCTACATGAATATTGATCCACAGTTTAACAAATGCTCTGTGTCTGAAGAAGGTTTTCCTGGGGAATCTCAATTTCGAAAACACGGATTAAAATTTACGTATTCAAAACTTCCTTTAGGAAGTTTAGTTTTGGTGAAAATGCAAACATGGCCACGGTAAGGTTATAAAAATTAAAAATTAATTGCAGTTAATACAAGTTACATTATATTACTGGAATGGGAATTGAGCATACTTTTATTCTGGAAAAATAACAATTTATATTCTGCTTCACTTTTGTGATCTGATGTTTTCTAGAGATAGGTTTAGTCAAAACTACATTGTATTTCTGAAGAAGAATTGGGAGAATCCCAACTTTGCCAGTCATTTCTTGGGAGGGGGATGGATTCAAAACAACAGAAATTCACTATAATGGATTCCAAACCAACCATCCATAAACCCCATTGCCCACTCTGTCCATTGTGTGAGCCAGCAGAGTTTTCAAAGTGTCAGATTATCCACTCCCCCCACTCACCATCTCAATTTACTCTGTCCAGTTCAATGTCGCATTTTGTGAGCACAAGATTGCTTGCTTTTGTGTTTCTATATTGGGTTAAGCATCTGTGGTCATCCATATGATTTTGGCCAACAGTGTTTAGTAGCCTAGCTACCCAAGCCGATTATTAAGGATGCTGGGAATTTCAATCTGAAAGCTGGTCATAGTTGGTTCCTCATGATAGAAAACATACATGTTATGTATTTTATCTTTCTTTGAACTGATTGTATTTTTTTCTTTCTTTCAAGATGGCCTGGTATTCTCTGTCCTGATCCTGTTAATGGACAGTATGTGACACATGACTTGGATGGAAATGTTGAAAGTCACCATGTAGAATTTCTGGGGAAACCCCATTCAAGGCAATGGATTCTCATAAAATACATTGGCCATTATCCTAGTTCATTTACGGTAGGAACTTTTAAATTGATGTTGTTGTTTTTCTTATAGACTGTAATATTTCAATAGATATGAAGATCAGAATGTATGTGAAAAATATTAGTGATGTTAAAAATTTCAGCTTTAACTGTTTTATAGAATCTTTAGTATTTTGCAGGAAATCTAGAAAGGTTATCCCAATTATAGTTCTGCATATAGCAGCCTTCTCCTGCCAGGCTTATGGTCAGCACCATCAAGATTGATGGATTGATTTCTAGCCTTTGAATTCTGTTCTTTAGTAAATTGCAGGACTAATTCCCATTGATCATTTGGCTGGCATATCATGTGAAAGGGAACCTAGATTGAATCTCTCTGCTTGTTTAGTGTATGACTGGGGCTGTTAAAATTAACTGTGCTGGTCATATATTAAGAGACTGCAGAGATCTACACCGGCAACTCAATAACAGTTTGGCTGCTGGCTCTGTGTGCTACTGCCCCCATAGTTTTAAAACGGCTTATTTTTTGTCATAAAAGAGTTATCTGATCTTGAATTAGATGCAGTAGTTTGTCTTAGCCCAGCTTTCCATCAGCTATTACTGCTACACAAAGCTTAGAGAAGCTACTGTTTCAAAAGGAATTCACAGGATCCCCCCATGCTAACCAGCTGTCTGGAAGGTCCTAGGAGTTGTCCCCCAGTGAGTGGCTCCATCTTAGACTCAAGGAAATCAGACATTTTTTGTTGTTTGGAAACAGGTGAAAGATTTATTGGTGTATTTAACAATAAACAAGTGTCCTGAACATGGTTATGATTTCTCTCTCCTTCTGCAACGGGTCTGGAAGGGGTCTCCATTCTTCAAACAGGAACTGGTTTCCAAAACTATTGTTCCAAGGTCCTGGTAAAATGGGAGGAACCCAGTCTCTTATGGTCTGCCCCGTCGGGTCATCCAACAGGGGCACAGTCTCCTCGTCCACACTGTCATCCCACTGGATCCTTCCATTGGTGTCTCGGCTCTCCCAAGATCCTCCCTGTAACTCCTTCTCTTCATCTCCCTTACTCTCCATTCCAACCTTTCTCTCTTTTCTCTCTCTGCATGTTCTTTCTCCTCTCTCAGTCTTCTCCACTCTCTCGCCTCTGCCTCTCCCCACTACGAGGGTCTAGGCGGAATTTCTGACCTCCTTCTATAATCAGACTCTTCCCTAGGAACCCTTAATCTTTCCCATAGCCCAGTCTATGGATCTTGCATCCACATCCACTCCCAGTCTAGTGGTAACTGATCCCCTTTTCTCTCTACTTCCCCTGTTCCCACTTCAAAATCCACCCTCTTTTTTCTCCCCTTTCCTGCCTTTTCTCCCTGAACCGCTCCATCTTTATTCTCTGCATGTCCTCTGTCAATTCCTCTATCCTCGCCTCCTGCTGGGATTTCTCTGTGGACTCTGGTGCGGGCCTGGGGTTTGCTTCCTTTGTTTTGCTGTTGAGGAGGGACGGCTCTCCAGCAAGTGGTGTATTCCTCTCGCCATCTGCCTCACACCCCCTAAAAGTAACTTTTTAAGGGAGTGATTATATGGGCATTTGTTCCACTGTTAGTCCACTGTGGGGACAGGCTGATTCTCTCCTTTTGCTGGCAACCAGACAATGTAAGTGCCAGCATGAACCAGTTCATCACCAGAGTATTCCTACATGCAGCTTTCTGGTTCCCTGTCAGAGGATACTTTTTTTAAGGTACTGGCAGGATCACTCCGTTTTGGTTCACTTCCAGTACATGCGATTTCTGAAATCAAACCAAAGCAAAGCTTGTTCCTTTAAATTTCCCATCCATCTTCAAATTCCCAATATTGGTCATCTTAGACACTTAATAATATCAGGAAATTAAAAGCATCACCTGCTCCTCCCTAAAAGGGCAGAGGAAGGAAGCAATTTAAAAACAAATATGCCTATGAAGGCAGTGTTGATGTGCCATACCTTAATTTTTTTTGGAAAGCTTCCTCCTAGAAGGTAGAGAAGACAGGAGGAGCAAGGAGGGGGATTTTGTTTTGTTTCTTTTCTTAAGGGATGTGAGCCAAATAACATTCCTTGAGGAGCATTTGCCACATGAATGCAAAGATCATATCAAATGGCATACCAGAGATCTTTCTTGTTGTTTAGTCGTTTGTTGTTGTTTAGTCGTTAAGGTACGACTCTTTGTGACCCCATGGACCAGAGCACACCAGATCCTCCTGTCTTCCACTGACTCCCAGAGTTGGGTCAAAGTCATGTTCGTAGCTTCAGTGACACTGTCCAACCATCTCGTCCTCTGTCGTCCTCTTCTTCTTTTGCCTTCACACTTTCCCAACATCAGGGTCTTTTCCAGGGAGTCTCCTCTTCTCATGAGATGGCCACAGTATTGGAGCCCCAGCTACAGGATCTGTCCTTCCAGTGAGCACTCAGGGTTGATTTCCTTTAGAATGCATAGGTTTGTTCTCCTTGCAGTCCAGGGGAATCTCAAGAGCTTCCTCCTGCACTACAATTCAAAATCATAGCTTTGACTATGCAGATGTTTGTTGGCAAGATGATGTCTCTGCTTTTTAAGATGCTGTCTAGGTTTGTCATCGCTTTCCTCCCCAGAAGCAGGGATCTTTTCTTTTCGTGGCTGCTGTCCCCATCTATAGTGATCATGGAGGCCAAGAAAGTAAAATCTGTCACTGCCTCCATATCTTCCATTTCTATTTGCCAGGAGGTGATGGGACCAGTGGCCATGATCTTAGTTTCTCTCCTCTTTCACCCTCATTAAGAGGTTCTTTAATTCCTCCTCACTTTCTGCCATCAGAGTGGTATCATTTGCATACCAGAGGTTGCTGATATTTCTTCTTGCAATCTTAATTCTGATTTGGGATTCATCCAGTCCTGCCTTACGCATAATGTATTCTGTATTGAAGTTAAATAAGCAGGGAGACAATATACAGCCTTGTTGTACTCCTTTTCCAATTTTCAACCAATCAGTTGTTCCATATCCAGTTCTAGCTGTTGCTTCCTGTCCCACATATAGATTTCTCAGGATATAGATAAGGTGGTCAGGCATTCCAATTTATTTAAGAACTTGCCATAGTTTGCTGTGGTCCACACAGTCAAAGGCTTTTGCGTAGTCAATGAAGCAGAAGTAGATGTTTTTCTGGAACTCTCTGGCTTTCTCCATAATCCAG